ATTTTATTGAGTGTTGATACAGTGAATAGATATTACACTCATTTGTTCAGTTATTATTTATTTTATTATTTTCCTTTCAGTATAAATGGTTCAGTACTAGTAACAAGAGCAGTTGTCCTCTCTGCAGGAATATTTTCTAATTTATTTTTGTGACTCAATTTTTTAATTTTATTTATTAAAAATAAAAATTATAATAATCGTTTATAATTGTCCAATAGTGTCTGTGCTAGTCTATCAGCTCTTCTTGTATTCTCTTCTTTAATTATTTCTAGAAACATGCCAAAATCTTCTCCATCCTCTCTAATGGATGCTTTCACTAAACTAAGCAGCTCGTCCATTCTTTGATTAGCAGTTAGTCCATGGCTGGTATCAATAATTTGACCTTTTTCAGCATCACTTATCATCCTCTTCTCAACCAGCCTGTCTATCAGTGGATACAAACCAATCCTTTCCTTTATCATTCCAGTACATTCTGTCATTACTCTATGAGCAATATCAGATCTAAATGTACCTATTAATGATACAAATTCAGTGATTAGTGCTTTATTATGTTAATATCAACCATACCTTCTTCAGTCTCTCTCCTGGTTTGACTGATGCTAGCAGTAGAGGAGCTTGAGCTAGTACTGTCTACTACACAAATAATAATCAGTTATACCATCATAAACTAACTCATTGATGAAGGAGGAGGTGTTCGGTAGATGAAAATTGTTTTTGAAGGATCTATTCCAGTTAACTTAATGGGACAATGAAGTGGATCCTTAGCAATACCAGGTTTAGCATACACTGATATACTGCAGCTTGCATATGATGGGTTAAATGGGAAATGGTCAACCGTATTCTGATGTATCTATTAGTAGGTAACAATCACACTGTTATTATTAAGATTAAAAATTACTGAAATTATTTGTTACACAAGGAATGAGAATGGAATTAAGCCCACTATATGGTACACTACTGCACATACTTGCATTGGTAATTGATGAGGTTGTACAGTCCATCCTGATTCAAGTGATGGGGTACCTTGTAGAAGCAACTCAAGGATACCATCATGATCAAACCGGAATGTGACAAATGATTCATCTTGTTCAACTTTAGAAGATTTATTATCCAAATACTAAATTACATGACATTCTTGGTAAAATCATAGATACAGCATACACATACTCGCTGAAGGACTTTCATATCTCTAACAACAGAAAATGTAGTCGTCCATTGATTAACTTCTTTCTTTTCATGATACATCACTCCAGTGTATATAACATTTGAGGCTAATTAATAATCATTATTGAAGTATCAAGTTACATATGGTCTACCTTCGTCCTCATTTGGCTTCTGTTTCACTTCATCTTCAGTTGATTCAGTGTTAATGTTAAATGCTTCATGACATTCTATATCAGCATGGTACTAAGGCAACAATTATTACTAACTTACTCTCTTGATCTAACATGTCAGCTACTGCAATCAAGTTCATATCTCTAATGGCAGCTGACAGTAACTCATAGGTAGCTCCTCCTTTACTGAACACATCATCAGCCCTTTCCATCCACTTAGAGAGACATTCTATTAAGCATTGATTGACATCCTGTGGATTATTAGCTTTGATGGTGTCCAGTGTATTCTTTGACAAGCCTAAAGCCAGTCCCAGTTCAAACCACCTCTTGTCAGGAAACTGACACTTCCTTAAAAGCACCAAAACCTCATTTAGATGTGATTTATCTATTAAACAATACTTGATAAATACAGCCTAAATTCAGACAACCTCAACTTACCAAGTTGTAGAGGCAATTCTTGAGAATCAGAGAAAGACGCCATGATAGCTTTTTAAAACTAGATAGTCACTCCCAAAATATGCACGAGCCACTCCTTCAACCTTCATTGTTTTAATACAAAATGTCTACTTGGCCTCATTTTGGTACCAATGCTATACACGTTGGACAGGACCCAGAACAATGGAACTGTAAAGCAATAGTACCGCCAATATTCACCTGCACCACTTATAAACAAGATGAACCAGGAAAACCAGTAAGAAGAGAAACTGATGAACAACTAATTAACAATGTATGCCACCTTCTCTTTCTCCTCTCTCTCCAGCCTATGCATGATTACATTAGGGATGGTAATCCAACTAGAACTGCATTAGAGAAGTCACTGGCAGCTTGTGAAGGAGCACAATATGGTATGATCAACTATGATAATAAATTGATCGATTTAATTTGCAAAGTTTTAACCAACTTTTACTTTAGCAGCATATAAAGTTTTGACTTGTTTGTCCTCATTAAAAACTATAAATGTCTTTTAAGTATTGTTGCTAAAGTAACATTTCTCTTTTAACCTTTATCACCTTTTCCTTTATTTCCCTCTATGATTGTCCCCTTAATATATCTCTTTCTTTCTCTCCCCCTCTCTCTCCTCTCCTCTTCTCTATAGCTCATACATTCAGTTCTGGTATGTCAGCAGTATCAACAGTGATGCAGGCTTTACTAAAATCAGGAGACCACATTGTATCAGTTAATGATGTGTATGGAGGAGTGAACAGGTTCTTTAGGAAAATAGCCAGTAACTTCAATATCAGTGTCACACTGGTTGATGCTACTGATACTAGTAATGTACTGAATGCTATTAAGGATAATACTAAGGTGAGAGAGAGGGGGGGAGGGAGAGAGGGGAGAGGGAGGGAGAGAGAGAGATGGGGGGAGGGAGCCTGAGAGAGGGGGAGAGGGAGGGGGGAGAGAGAAAGAGAGAGAGAGAGAGAAAGAGAGAGAGACTAGTTCCATACAGTTGTAGATGTTGTATGGATTTTGTGGTTAACATACAACTGTTGTAGAGCTAGTCCTGGCTCTAACCCACTGATTGTTCCATTAAAGTGTTGTAAGGATATTGTGTATAGTCCTGTATGGAAACCAGCCTTAAAGAAATAATAAACAATGACTTCTTTT